CAAATAATTCCACTGTTTGAGCCAATTCCATATCATCACAATGGAACGTGTTTTGAGCGGTTCTTTCTGGGTTTCATGTCATTCCGAACACAGAAGAAAGCCTCTTCTCCCCTCTCCAACAACGAAGCCAAAGACGTGAATGCTCACTGTAGGTAAATCCAGTGTATTTGTTTCGGCCCAAAGGCTAGGGTCAAAGACGCACCAGCAAATCCAGTGTTAGATGGTACCAGTATCACGCGAATCTTGGATTTGCTCAAGGAACAAAAACATGTTCCCCAGAAAGGGATTCACACATACACATAATTAAGGGAAGCAAACCGCAGCAAACCAGGGAATCGAAAACTCCACCTCGCTGTTGGCACTGTATACAGTTGAAGAAGGTGACTCTGCTGGGACCAAGCTCAGGGGTCTCGAGTCTCCAAAAAGAAAAGGGCAGAATCTGAGATTGGAGCAGAAATGACATGAAATGACAATAAATGGAAATACCACATTTGGTCCGCTACCCTACTAGGGTGGAGGCGATCGCTATTAGTTTGGAGGCCATCGCTGCTAGTAGCATTCTTGCTACTAGTAGTGGAGAGTGACCATACCTTAAAAGAACACTCGGTCGGTCGGCCCCGGCCATGAAGGAGTCGCCCTCATCCATGAGAAGTTGCCTCGGTCGCGCGGGTCCAACGTGGTTGGGACGGGCGAAACATGGCGAAACGGCTCACCGGGTCGTCCCCACTGGTCGCCAGGTTTGGGCGGGTTCCCCGGTGATCTCGACATGGAAGTTCGCTCCAAGTCACGTGAGGTGCAGGATCTGCATGAAGCTTTCCTCTGAGAGGGCTGGATACCTCAGAGATTCCAATCAGAAGAAGGAGAAAACATGAACCAACTGGGCGGGTTTTCCATAACCGGTCTACGATCTGTGAGAGGTTTGTGAGAGGTTTTTGACGCTGCTCAACTCAACAAAGACGTATTTTTCAACTGCATGCTGCAATGCTCCATACATACATATATATATATATATGCATGTTCATATTTTTAATGTTCATCCTACTAGCAATAGTGGCTGCGAAAGCGACCTTCTTCTTCAGATCGTCCTTCATCTTCGACCGCATTGCGGACCGCACCATTCTCCCAGTCCAAGCAGCTGAAAGTCCAAGGTCATCAACACCAAAGAGACCTGCACCGAGCACCGATGTTGTTGAACACACCGACATCATGGACCGCCGGGCGTTGAACCGTTGCCGAGTTCGGTTTGTGCGGTGAGAGCACCACGCGCGTGACAAACGCACGCGCGAAAAAACACCTGCGATGTGTGTGCGTGTGTGCGCAAATGGATGTGTGTGTGTGTGTGTCAAAGTAGATGTTAAAGCAAGAGGAGAGATGCTGTCGATCTCCAGCAGTCTTCCATCACCTGTCAGGACCTTCGATCTGCGAAAAACCATCTGCAGAGCAGAACGTCCCTGGTGCTTGTCAGTGGATTTCAGCACGTCCAACAGAAACTCCAAAAGAAGCCCAAGGCTGCTTCGTGCTTTCTTTGTGCGCCGAACGAAAAGAGTGCGTGCCAGCTGCTAGCTCCGCTTTTTCGGTTGCCCTTTGCTTGTGTGACTGTGGAAGACTGCTGGAACCAATTCGATGCTGGTCGATGCTGGTCGATGGGTCTTCACCGACCGGGTGGGAACTTGCTCATCCACCTGGTCGCTTGCGCAGGGCGAATCGGAGAAGCCATGGCCAGTGACGGTGCTAGGCATGTTCGTTCCAAGGATCAAGCCTCACAAAAAGTACATGACCTAATTGAGACTTACTGCATGGTACTGCAATGTACTGCACCCCTCCTAGACCCTAAGGCTCTAAAGCATCCTCCAGCGTTGAGAGCTTCCCAAAAGCCGCTTTCTCAACACCCAGGGGGTCCACCGACCAGTGTGCGGTCGGAAAGCCGCCGGCCTGCTGCTGCAAGCCCTGCCAGACGTTCCGCTTGCCTTGGCCCGATGGATATACAAGGAAATACAGGCAATTTCGGTGCTGCCACCGAACTATCTGAGAACATCCAGATCTGTGCCACACGGATTGAACCAACGAATGGATTTTCAGAAGGCACCAAGTACCCCGTAGACGCCATGCTGGCCATGGAACTCGCTGACCATGGTGTGGAAGGTCTTGTTCCATCCCCGAAATGTCCACAGGACGGCAATCCTTTGGAAGACTCATTCATTAAGGTGAACCTCCATGGGCAAAGTCAACGGGTCATGCCGCATATGCCGCATGCTCCTTTCCTTTCACTCCTGTTCAAAGAATTGGGTGTGTGTTTGAGACCCGGAGACCCACGGACCTCTCGCCCCTGGCGGGGTAGACTGGTCTATTCCCCCAATCGAACCTCTCCCCTCCCTTTTGACACTTTTAAGAACACACCCAATTTGCCATCAGTTGCCAATCCATTCATCATCCACTCATCATCCGACCTGCTTCCCACGGGCGCCCGTTTTGGAGGCGTTCCATCCTCCTCCCGTCCTCTGCCAAGTCGCTGGACGTGAGCTCTGTGTGGACGCTCCGCAGCAGCTGTCAGGTCGTGACACGCCGGGGAGAAAGGGGTGTCACAGGTTGAAGAAACACATCACAAGTTTGAAACACTAGAAGTTGAACAGGTTGAACAGGTCAAGATATATTTGTTATTGAAAGACCTCAATAGATTGAAGCCCTTTGAAACTCCACTTGTTTCTTGTTATCTTGCTCAGCTCATCGCCATCCAACATGAGTCTGTGATCGCGAAGGGGCGACCGCTCGTAGTACCGCTCGGCTCAATGAGCAAAAGAACCTCCAATTCCCAACAGTCAAGACCTTCAGTGACTGAAGGTGTGTTCTCCGTCTCCCTGTTCAACTGTGACTTCTTCGCGCAGAAGATGTGAGCAACTGTGGAACATCATCGGAACTTTCGGACGCCACCTTTGCCTCAACCACCGGCCGCTGAAACCACCGGCGAGTGAACGACCATGAAACGTACACCGTGCGGCAGGTACCTGCGGAGTACGGGAAGAGCCAACCGTCATGGCTTGAAAAAGCGACCTCGGGATGAGAGACATGCGACTCAGTACGGCTCTGCGCAAGCGACGACGTGGTGGAGACCACCGGGGCCGACCAAAAACCAAGTACGCAACGCAAAGACCGGATCAAAAAGGAGTTCTCAAAAGCAACACCAGATCACACGTGACACCGGATCACACGTTCAACACCAGATCACTCGCCGATGACCGGCCGGCTCGGCCTCCCGGAAGGCCGGCTGCTGCGCCTCCTCAGCTTCCACATCCTGTCAAAGCACTGACCACCCGGCTGTACTGGTCATTGACCGGTGTGTATCGTATCAACATAGGGACACCGACCCCCTTTCGCCTCCCAACGGAGAGATCCGGCACCTTCTCGACTCTACCCACTTCGATGCGGGGCGTGTTCGAAAGGAAGGAGGTCTCCTTGTTCCACACCCGCTGTCCACCCTTGAAAAAGGGTGGAGAGGAACCGAACGGTGGCCACCGGGGTGCAAAGACGAGGACAACGGTCCCTGGATGTCGCGGGGAAGTGCTGTTACGGCGAACATCCTGGATGTTGATGTCTGAAACTGGCCCTACTCCCTTGTGCACGGGCCGGTTGAGCTCCAAATGGAAAGCCGAACAAACATTATAAGAAGTGTATGAGATGCCGCAACAGGACTCATGCTCTTGCTGGGCAACAGGACTAAATCCCTCACATCTTCGAAAAGGACCAAAGAAACACTGGCCAACTGTGCAGGAGTCAAGGATCACTTCAAGCAAGATGTCAATCAAACCATGCCTTCCCCACACACTCCATGTAGATGACCTATTTGCCTAATTAGGGGCTTTGGTGGTTTCAGGGGAGGTCAATCTGCGTGCTCCATGAAGTCTTTGGGTTATGACCTTCTCGTTTTCACCCCCACCAGGCAGGCCCACGCCGACACCGAGTCACCACTGGTCCGAGATACGCAAGAACCCGCGCTGGACCGGACCGACCGTGACGCCGCGGCCTGGCTCCGGATCAGGTGCCACATGCAAAGGAACTGATGTCGGTACCTCCACGAGAACGAGTGGCTGTGGTGGAAAACACCCGCAGACTGGATCACTGGGTCCTCTGCGGTTGATGTTCGTTTTCATTTGGGAGGAGAGCCAGTGGCAAGGTTGATGGAGTTTATGGCAGAGGATCTAGAACGCGATCCCAGCTTGAGGCTCCTACACAAGTTTCAGATGGGAGGTAGGAGGAACGTTGTCATACATTCGCCCAGCAGGTGCTACCAGCTGCGTCACTCTTCAGAACCGTCACCCTTTGAATCCACTCAGCTGCGTGCTTCACCATGGTTCACACCTTGGTTCACCTGTCGCTCGGCAGCGACCCACTCTGGAGGGACTGGCCGTGGAAAACCAATCGGTTCAGCGAAGAGTCCGGATTTGACCAAGTGGGGTGTCAAAGAAAAGGTGTTGTAGGATGTTAGTTAGGTGATCCACTCATTTTAGAGTAGGTAGGAGTAAGGCTAGCCTCGGCTTCATTTGATCAAGCGATAAATCTGGACGTGTATATTTATATATCATATGATTCTTGAAATCATGGGAACACCAAAGAGAACATGAAAAACGTTCACTGCTCCGGTCTGGACCCCGCAACAACTTGCTGCGTGCTGTTGGATACCATGACCCACACCCTTCATATGATAAGATAATGAACTTAAAAGCCGCAAAGCCATGCCAAACACCCGCCCAACACCCGCTCCAAAACAGAACGAGACCTTTCGCGTCACGCACCACAAAGCTGACCGACCGACGTACGCTGCAACAGCCGCAACAGGGAAAAACACACTGCCGTCCAATCGCGCACAGGAAGTTGCACAAATGTTCGTAGAGCTGCAGAATGCAGGGCACCACTTGCGAGGCATCCTGGCGTGGCCGAGACCACCATCTGCGTTGTGAAGATTGACCACGATTCAGGATGATGGCGTGGAGCGTTGGCACGACTCTTCAGCAACCCTCCCTGTGAAACAAGATCTCCAAGAGATCCAGTGGCCACTGCGGAAGGGCCTGAGAGCTCTCAGGGTTTTGGTGTGTGAAGAGAACACTCTCCTGTTTCATGTTGGTCGAGGCTAATTCCGGTTAGGTAGCTTGAAAAGAGATCGCTTCCAGCTGGCCGGACCTGCCAAGTGATCTTACATATATAAATATATACGACTAAAAGCAGAAAGGTCAATTGGATTGAAATGTAGCCATTGGCATCAATTGGCATGAAGCAAAAGAGCTGCGCAGAATGTGTTGGAGCCTACATGTGTTGGTCAAAGAATCCCCACCAGGTCCACCCTGAGTTTCGGACCATACTTTTGCAGAGCTCTCGTAGTTGAGCTCGCTTATGCCAATCCTCCCCGGACGAAGGCGCTCGTTCACGAACGACGCCCAGAAAGCGTTGAACGGGGCCAGGATGACACCGGCCCACCTACCTACTAGCAATGGCCTCCTACCTACTAGCAATGGCCACCTACCTACTAGCAATGGCCTCCTACCTACTAGCAATGGCCTCCTACCTATTAGCAATGGCCTCCAACCTACAAGCGATGGCCTCCAACCTACTAGCGATGGCCTCCACCCTAGTTGCGATGGCCTCCAACCTACTACCGACGGCCTCCCGCCTACTAGCGATGGCCTCCAAACCTACTATAGCAATGGCCTCCAACCTACTAGCAATGGCCTCCAACCTACTAGCGACGGCCTCCAACCAACCAGCGATGGCCTCCAATCTACTAACAATGGCCTCCAACCTACTAGCAATAGCCTCCAACCAACCAGCGATGGC